TTCCGGTGAATTTCCAGGCGCCACGGGACGAGTAATTACACCGGCGACAGTGTGGCGGCGGATACCAGGCGCAAACGCAATTTATTCCTCAACGACGGGACGCGACGCGTCTCTCTCTCTCTCGCTCTCTGTTTTCAGTCGTCCGCGGCGGAATACGCATTATACGACCTCCCCGTCGTAAATTTCATTCTACCCCTGCCGATGTATGATCGCGAGCGGCGATGACGCATCACGCGATAATGCGTCCCCGCAATTTCCCGCGTATTTTCGGATAAAGTAATTCACACCGGGGCCCCATCAGCGCGCATTACCGCCCAGCCGATACGCGATTTACCCTTTAATCCGGCCATTCTGACGCCATTCCCCTCTCTCGATTCACGAGTTTCGCGAATTAATTCGTCCACGAGGAACACCTGCGTGTAGTTTATGCCAGGACGAACCGATATATCTATTTTTCTATTAATTTATTTAAACTGATGACGAATTTTTTCCAAGAGTTATTCGTTTTTACCGTAGGAATTATCTCAAGAGTTGGATCTACGAGAATTGCCTACGGTTGCACGCAAGGTGTTGGATAAATAATGGATCAATCAAGCAAAGGTTGATTGGAGGATAATGTATGGAACATTTTTTGTCCTGTAAACTTCTGCTTTATCTAGTTTCGTTGAGCAGTTATCGAATTTTAAATATGCAGAAGTTAGACGCCTGACAGCAGGCAACCCGTCGTGTGTAAAACGCTCTTACGTGATTTCTCTAAGGTTTCGAGTGGGCACTTAAACAGTATCTGATGATTATCTGAGGTTCTCAAGCGTCTTATTTTAACTTTAAGGGTTTACCAGTATATCCGCCCTCAAGTCGATCAATGTAAACCGGAACGATTTATTTTCCTTGTGTATGTGGGGAGCAGTGTCGCGTCAAAGGAGACGCAGAAGCGACGGGAACGTCTGCGAGCAGGAGGTAAATGGGTGCATTCAGTGCGCTAAGCATTCCTTTGTTCCAGACGCGTGATTGACGCGGAATGGTTCATGGTTTCCAGCCACTCTCGGCCGCGCCAAGATTACCCTCGAATAGAACGCTGAGGGTGATCTACATGATTGAGCCACCTGCTTGGAGCAGATGAGCGTGTTCTACTTTACAGGATGTTGCTCCTCTTTCAACTGCTCTGAATGATGGTGGGCTGAGGAATCTGGGAAATGATATGCTAAATTGTTACTTAATATTTCGGATCTCCCTTTGATCTGCTAATTGAATCAAACGAAAACATGGGGCAAACGTGTAATTTGCAAACTCTGGACTTTGGAGTCTAAGGTTTACGTTGACTCTGGACCCAAAACCTTAGATCCTAGATATTAGATCGTGTGTTGTTGGCATTGAACATTAACTATTGGACCTTGGACTTTGTATCTTTTAGATTTCTGGACTCTGGCCTTTGGATCGGAGATCTTGGATCCCATGGACCTTGATTTTGAACTCTAGTGGATACGCCCTCGAACATTGAACGCCTTAAACTCTATTTTTTGGACCTTCGGTTTAAAATTTTGGATCCTAAGTCCTGGATTATAAATCGTGGACTCTGGAGTCCTTGGCTATTGAAATTCTCCAAAAAGTGGAAACTATATTTTCTCGGTGGAATGCGTCGCTTCGGTAAAGAATTCAGTTCAGTTAGTTACTCGTCTAGCACGTCCACCTCATTGACCCAATTATTCACGCTTCGTTAGGGCTTGAGTAAAGAAAAAACGATCGCAGGAGGCATCCAGGCCGATAAATTATGCTGTCTTTTTATGGAAGAGACGAATCACCGTGAGTCGCGGATTAATAACACTTTCCTCCTGACTTGTCTCATCTCATCTGTCACGCCTTCCCTAACACTTGAAACAAAATAGAAAAGTCGTTCCTTTTTCTACAGCCAGACGAATTCGTAAAACGAAAAGGACCATACTGCAGTAGACAGAGATTATAAAATTCAACAACTAAACCCCTCTATTCGTCGAAACAGGCGGTGCTTTTAATTAAAGGTTCCCTGTTGTCGTTTTTTTCCCCAAGTTGTCTCGCAACGAGAAAATATTTCCAGCGAAAATGTGTCTTCCTAGGGGTCGTTTGGCGCGTGGCCAAAAGAAAAGGCGTGGAGGGAAGAATTCAATTCTCCACGGGTTAGTTATTCGCGCCTGCGCATTCCTGAAAATATTAATTTTAAGAAACGCGCAGGCCAGTTGAGGCCAGGAAAAAAAACCTATTCCTTCGCTTCGCCGCATTAAATTTCACGTGCCAGCCAACCCAGTTGAAAATTACACTTGTACTCCATTTTCGAGCTCGTTTTTTAATTCGAGCACACTGTTTACAGTTTCGACCGTTCGTTCTCGCTGAAAAATCCAATATTAGAGTAATCGAGAAGATTACTGCTTGGACAGCGAATGAAAGTGTAGGTTCAATTTGTTTTTATTTATTTATTTATTTTTGTTTTTTCGTTGGACGGAGTAAAATGAAATTTTTGATCAGTTCGTGTTTACTTTTACTGTTTCATTAACTCACAGTCGTACCACTGGGAATAAAAATTCGCAATTGCAATAGATTTAAAACAAAAAAAAAAAATCGCCACACGTTAATTTTTACGTCGTTTCTGTTCACTTCCAAAATACTGTCTACCAATTGAATATCACCAACGTGTAATTCATAGTTCGTAACAGTCGCTGGACTAGTGTCTCAGTCGTGCAGCGTGTGACCTTGAGAGTCAGCAGACTCGACACGAGCTATAGCCTAGCGTGATCTCGCTCTACTCGAGTTTCTGTTTAACGTAACCTCTCCCAAACGGTCGAAATAATTTCCAACGCCGCAAACACATCTCCAGAGAGGTTGGATTTCACTTTGGCTCGAAGTTTCGGGCGTCCACGGAATCCGGGAGGGGATAGGATTCAGCCCGATCAGATATTTTCGAGCACGAAATTGAATTTCCAGCGAGCAATCCCGCGACAGACAGTCCTCCGGGCGGGCAGGGCCCTCCCGATTATCCGTTGATCAGCCGAGCTTCCTTGTAACAGAGTTAATCCCAGGGACGTTAATTAAACAGCGAAAAGCTTGGTCTCTCCCACTACCTCCCTCGTCCTCTGATCCATCGTGGCCGTCTTTCACCGGCGGATTATTCGCCGGCAGGCTCTTTCTTTTCGTCTCGATCGATCTTACGCCTCGCCTTCACGCGCCTTTAACGAAATTAGACCCTGGCTAGAAGAAACCCCCTCTTCTTCCGTCTGGAGGAGGGGTAAAAGTCTCGTCTCTTATTTCCCAAGGCTATCAATCTTTCCGTTTATCCGTCTGGCGGGATCCAAAAACGCAGTTCGCTTCGAATCGCGTCGTTTATTTTTGTTTTCCTGTGAAATATTTTTTTCTTCTTTTTATTTAAAGATAGAAGGAACGATGTCTCGTGTTTTTAGAATCATTGTTCGAGTGAAACGACTCCTATTTTAATAGACCGAGTCTTCTGGTTCTACTTAAATTTTTGTCCAACAGTTAGGAGGTAGACACGGCGAGGATTCTACCCTGGAATTCCGGAACGCATTTCCAGCGACCATAAATCATTCACCGTAGCCGTGTGTGCCACTTCCATCCCCTCACCTAAATTCTGCTCCTTTTTCCACCCCTAATTGTTTTTACTCAACTTCCTCTCGCCTTTGAATCACACGGAACACGCGACCCCTCTTGGCTGGCAACCGGTCCTTTCTCTTTCGCCAGCCTGTTCACGGTTCCAGGATCATCCTCTTTCCCCAGGGGCACCTGGCGCCCCTGTCCCTCCTCCAAACTAATGGCTATCGAATTGCTAAGCTATTATACGCAATTCCAGCATAGAGGAGCTACAATTCGATATCCTGGATCAATTTCAAGAAAATTCACGCGAATAAATCTCCTTTTCATTTCCATAACCGAGATATCGCTAGTTTTAGACTGTGCTTGGCCGGTTGCCTGATATCAAGCGCTCAACTTTTGCACCGTTCACACGCTGTTGCTAGAAAATGATGAAAAATCGAACATGTCTCTGATCACCTTTCGTTCATCTACTTGATGTATAATTCTGAAAATACTTCGCTTAGGCTAAGTTGAACGTACTTTGTTTCTTGGTCTCTTGACACTTGCTCGAGTGCTTTCAAAGACCTCGATGGTCATTTCACCAATGTCTGACGGTGTAATTGCAGCCTGTAGAGACTTGTTGCAATTAACCAGATGGTATTGAGACTTTGGGGAGGATCGATAACCACTTGGCCAAGATTTTTTTCGAGCGGTCCAAGCTGCTCCAGCCTCGATAACCACTCGGCCAATTTATTCGAAAGGGAGTCCACCCTCGGTGAGCTTCTTCTGGATCAATTTAACAGTCGATGACCACTTGCCCTTGAGGTTTCTCGGCCATCAGCTGGCCGGTTTTTATTCAGTCGACACCTGGCGGAACCTCTCGAGCCTCCGATAAGTCGACTTCCACTTGGCCAATATTTTCCAAAGCCGCGGGGCTTCGGTTTCTCGCTGGCGTTTATCCACTTAACGCCTGCTGAGCCGGCCGAGCCTCGAACGGTCTTTAAAACGGAGTTTTCTGGATCAACTAGCCGCACGTAGGACTCTCTAACGCTAGCTGTTATCCGATTTCACTGGTCATTTGGTCATTCAGTGACCACTTGATCGACGCTTAACATCGATTAACTCTAAATAACTCGAGCCGGATGAACTTTAATGGACTGAAATTAATTAAAATTGATCGACTTGAACGAGAATTCAGTGCAGCGGAATTGACTGGAACTGCTAGCGCGAAGCGTGAAGCGTGAAGCTCACTTCTGTTGTGCCAGGTCGCGTTTTCCTTATCGGCCGAGGATATCGTGTCAGGGCAATTACGACCGTATAGCGTTGCGCTTAATGGAAGACACGAACAGACGACGAGCCAGCTCTCCGAAACGAAGTGATCGTCACCGTAAAAAAAGTTACTTTTAACCCTCTCTAACTCGGATTTTTTTATATTTCTGTTACAGCCGTCATGGATGCGCAGCAGGGAATACTGGGATGACAGCTTCGAGGCTCGTTACGCGGAGCTGAGGAAGGATCCCACCAGGCCTCCGTTAAAGGTAATTACATAAATTTACAATTTAACCAGGGCTTTTATACTAGACAGCCTCAAATCCCTCGGAAATGTTAAAAGAAATGAATATTAAAAGTAGTATCCAGAAGAAAGGAAGAAAGCTCCTCAGAATGATTCATTGATTAAAAAAAAAAAAAAGTGGCTTCGAAGTCAGTGGATGTAAAAATGGCTCGGAAAATATGCTTGCAAAAAGGCTGATAATTGTGAAATCCACTCTGTCGAAAAGTTTCACGCAATTCAACATGGTGGAATGATCGCGTAAAGTGTCGAATCGTTGACCAGAGAAGTGTCTCTCCTCCTCCCTCCCCCCCGTAATATGTGTTTGAGTGTGATTCCCGCATGTCGCGGTTTTCAAGCAAACCTTTGTGCGCTCGCGTGCTCACATGCTGCTCCGTTAACCAGCGGTGGTCCCTTGGCCCTTGACGTGGAGCCACTAATGGGAATGTTTCATCAAAGCTCACGGGGAGAGCGAGCTTTTTGCCCATGCATTTTCAATATTTAGCCTTGTGGCTGGTTTATTTATTCGGCTGGGAAAAATCCCGACCGCTGTACCGCGTTTCCTTTCTTTTCGTTTTTCTGCGTGAGCTTTGAGTGCACGATAACGAATCCCGTTGTCGACCACTTGCTCTGCCCCGTGTATATCCTTCTTTTCACGATATTCCAGGGCTGGACTGAGAATTCCGCTGGGAGAAATTGACGGATTGTGAGTTACAGAATAAGGATAAGCATATGTGTGAGAATTTTCTTCGAGTATGAAATTTCTTTGTATCGAGAAATTGTTATTAACCTGTGAAAGTACATGCTTCTACCGGATATTCGTGAAAATTTCATCGAAAAATTTCAGAGGACGATTTTGGTGCAGCACGTTTTTGAAGACGGCATTTATGGTACTTACAAGAGATACTTCCGTCAGTTTTTATCTGAAAGGAAAAACCGAAATTTTCTGAGAAATAAGTCATTTGAACTAAAAAATGATATGTTTAAAGTTTCAAATGTAAACTGTTATATCTCAGAGAGCTCTAGTTATCCTGTAAGATAAAATTTCACCTTCCAAGTCCGAAAAGTTCAATTTTTCACTGTTCTGATGGATTCACCGTCAATTGGAACAAAACCAGAACAAAATTTCTTACTAGAAGCGCCTTTAGAACTTCATAAGTGTCATATTTGCTTGGCTGGTTGCCTGTCATCAGGCGTCTAACTTCTACAGAATTAATACTCCATATCTAAAGAACCAAACAAAATTCAACACGTGTGTATACGAGCAAAAATATTCCTCGAATCGTCCCCTGTGTTTCCAGTCAGTTAGACTAATCGGTATTTTTGAAACGGCCTGTAGAGATCGGTTAAACGCGGTGGAAAAGAATGAACGCTGTGCGACGATAATCCGATCTGTCTAATGAAGCGGTAGGGAACCGATGGATGGGAAGGCGCGTTTACAAGTAGCGCGGAGCAGGCTTAGCGTGGCTCGTACGTGCTCTGCAAACCCTCAAGGCGGATCCACACGGCGAGGAGAAACTTCGTTAACGAATCTCCGAAATGCCTCGGATGCGTCGGCTTAATTAGCTCGCGAACGTGAATGCGGGTTGCCGGTTACCAGGCGCGGCCGGAAGTGAAAGGCGAATCCCCAGGCGAGTTTCCTGTTCGATGGAGTCGATGCACAGTCGATACTCTGGCCTCGTTTGCTCGTTAATATGAAAACTTCCCCGTGACACGTACGATTCTCGATGTTTTTCCGAGGAAAAAATATTTCGCGGGATTTTTTCCTGCATTCAAAAGAATAATTTATTTCTGTGGAGATTAAGGTCAGAGGAACTTTTCCTCGTCCTCGTGGAATACTCGAAGTAGGAAATTCCAAGTTGGGAATTTTTTCATCTTTTTCCAATTCTCAGAATTTCATTTAGACGCGACCTGACGCAAAATTCCCCGATAAAATTAAACGCGCAAAAGGGATAAGGCGGAGAACGATGATCGAATACGTCGGAGGTTATGTACACGACCCTTGACGTCACCTATTTACCTCTCGCGCACGATCTCACGGTACCAGAGCGCCATAAACACGCCAATATTCTCCAATCTTCCCTAACAAGGTGATACTACTCTCCTCAAGGATATAGATAACCTGGTGAAGGAAGGCTAGAGGGGGTAATGTCGCGGAGAAAAGTTCACCACGCAGGGGAGGAGCTTGCTCGAGCTGCATGGCCGTCTGTCGACGATTTCCTTGATATGTGATTCCGTGGAAAAAGACCGCGGAACAATCGTCTGAATGTCTGATCGAATCAATTTTATTTCCTTCATTTATTATTATTATTTTTTTTCTTCATTTGATCTATTCAACGAAATTTTCATTTGATTGCAACGAAGAATTGAATGAAATGTAGAATACACACAAAGAATTGCACATAACCTCGAAAAGTGTACAATCAAAATGGCGACCAAGTGCAACAAAATGGCGTCTGGGTAATTCGAATCGACCAATCGACAAACAAACGTAGAAATCGTTGAAGAGAGGCGAAGAAAGGAGGGAAGGGCGTTCAGAGGTGGATGTGGAAGGTGCATCGGACGCATTCCACGACTGAATCGGCATTGTTGTGCGCGTTTTCGAAAAGGCCGCCGCCCAACCATTGTGACCGGCCGACAATGGTCTGATGAGCCGGTATTGTCGAACTTGTCGAACTCCGGTGCGATGAAAGGGTCGAGGGGAAGTCGCGTCCACGTTTGGCCTTGCCCTGGCAAGTACGTACACCTCTTGGGAACGCCGCGTCGGTTGAAATCGCCTCCGTTCAAGAACCACTTCCGCCTAAATATTTGTTCTTCCATTGAAACTTTATCGTTCATCATCGGACAGTCGTTAATACTGCATTTTTCTTTCGGTTAAATACCAGAAGTCTAATTTTTCCAGAACACGACCTTTTTAAGCACCTTTCCGAACGCCTAATTACACGTGGTTCTAACTACCCAATTCTGGTACATCAACTTAATCAAATTGATCCTACAAGGTTGTAGCTATAATGAGAGCATTCTATAATGCTTGTTTGATAAGGCACTATGAAAATTTGCGTAGAAAAAAATTGTGTTTAGAAGAAATTGAACACTTTTCTGAACGTCTAATTACACACCAGCCTAACCGTTTAATTCTGGTACACTAACTTAACCAAAACTGCCTCCACGTGATTCTAATTTTCGTAGAAGCATTCTAGATCGCTTACTTCATAACTCAGCGCAAAAACTTGCACGTGAAAGGATTCAAGTACCCGACTATCCCGCATTTTCCGGAACAATCGCGTCGTCGCCCATTTCCTGAAGCCCTTATCGATCGAGGTCCGCGATTGATGAAGTTGCACCCTTTAACTGGAGCAGGGGAGAATCGTGAAAGAAGCGAGCGATGGACGATCGCTGGAAAAGGAATTGGCTTTCAGTTTTCACGTGAGAGCGTGTTAACCTAGCCGGTAGTGGGTGTAGTTGCACGAAGTTTGCAAGTTGCAAGGCCGGAAATTAACCTGGAGAGCTCGTGATGCACTTTTGGCGGCGACTTCTCCTTTCGAGAGTGACGTGGAAGCTCGCGATAGAGTCGTCGTCGTCGTCGTCGTCGTTGTGCGTGTGCACCTTTGGGGACGTGTTTCCGACAGTCCTAGGGAATTTAAGATAACATGCCTGCACAAATATATTCCCAGGAAAATAGCATCATAAATTACCAATTTTCACAATTTTTTCAAGCCCTAGAATCATTAACGTAGCATGTCATGGTACCGATATTTAGAGAATTAAGATATTGCCGGATGTAACACACATAAAATACTAGAAACACGCTCCTAGGGGAAGATATTATGGCAGAAAGGCAAACAGCATCCTCGAGACGAAACACGTTTCAGGTTATACGATACGTCCTCGTAAAAAGTGGGTCTGCTTCAGTAAACGTTAGTCTAGTTGCCTATCGTGGCTAGGGAAATGTAATGGAACCGTCACGAGTCGCTTGTCGGACCTGTACTTACATTCTACCAACCTCTGAAACCTCCCGTTTCCTTCGTCTATTTTTCTCCGAACAAAAATGGCGTCTGGCAGCCTGTTCGTTAACCTCATTTACGTTTCATTTCAACTAAAATTAAAGGAAAACAGTAATTTTAAAGGAACTAAGAAGCAAAAGGAAATTAGTACGAAATTATGTATCTGTGGAGAGAAATCTCTCGTTTCACCTCAAAGCGACAACCGTGATTGCAGAAAGTAACTAGAATGACAATAAGCTATCGGCAAATTCTTTTTGTCGATAAAAATTGAAGAAAGACAACGTCTTGAAAGATTGAAGAAAGAAAAGAGGGAGCAGCAGCGTGTTATACATATTACGTCTGTGTGGAAAGATCCTTATAAAAGCGTGTTAATCGTCGACATCTCGTGAATTCACTCGTTCCACTTGGAGGCGATAAGCGTGATTCCAGGAAGTAGCCAGAGTGGCAAAGTTATCGGGAAACCCGTCTATGGGAACGGATCATAGCGTTCCCAGCAGGGCTGAAGGGATAGGGGTGTATTAAAGGGGCGCCGCGATACCCAAGCTATCCAGTATCGTCTCATGCATACGAATCAGCCTTTACTCTGGTATCTCCAGTGGCAGCTTTCGCCTAGCCGGCTTATTAAACGCGCCAGATGACCAATCCGTAATTAACGCTTCATCCTTACGAACGTTACGATTCAACCGGCAGTTGGTACGACTGATACGAATACCAATCTACGAAATTTTACCCCGAATCTACCAATTTCTCGCTGTTGGTACGTTTAAACGTAAAATCGAATAACCCGTTTTGGATTTTCAAAAAGATTCAAAATCTTAGAAATAAAAATTACAAAAATGGACGATCCTTAGGCCCGCATTCGTATTTTTGACGAATGTCGCTCTTTGTAGAAATATTTCTGCTACCGTGTCTCCGTCGTTTTCATCAATTTTTCAACGAAACGTTCAAGAATTCCAGCGAAAATTTTGCACGTTTGAATGTTTCTACGAAAGTTTACAGACGAACGAAAAATTTTCAAATATACATCGATCTTTCTCGTTCCTGTGTCTATGCGATCCCTTAAAATCATCGATCCACCGGAAGTGAGGGGTTTCACGTGGTCGAGCAATAAACGGGGCCGCATAACAGGGATTCGTCGGCGAACTATGCGCCAGTTTAACGTGCCGCGGCTTCCACGCTGATTATGAGCGAATGGATATCGGTTTATTGTAATCCTTTGTGTCAGTGCTTCTCAACCAAACGTGTTAACCCTTTCTCTCTTCGTACATCCAGTTCCTCCTTTTTCCATCACGAGCTGTTGCTAGTTGGATGGATGGATGGGACGAGTCAGCTTGAAAGATCAAACAGTCGCCGCCCCCGTTAAATATTCATAAAAGAGTGTAGAAAGCCGGGAGAGAGGAGGAGGAGAGAAAGTCGATGTAGAAAAGAGAGGAAAAAAAATTGCAGCTAGGCTGAACCGGGTATGAATTTTCATTAACGACGAACTTTTGGCTCGGTTGGTCGAAAATCAAATCGAGTTCGACGAATTTCGAATGCAATTCCATTCTGAAATCTGCATACTCGTTGTATTGGTCGGCGAGAGAGGAAGCGTTAGTTACCAAAAAGAAAAAAAGGAAAGAAAAATAGGTTACAGCGAATATCTAGGCGCGTTCGTCTAAAAATTCTCTAGGAAAGTCAATTTTTTCCAGAGGCTTCTTACGAGATATACATACTACTCCGTATTCAAAAAGTTTCGGAAAATATCGTGGTGCACAAAAAATTCCTACCAACTTGTCAAACAGTCAATGAACAATACTTTAGTGGTTACGAGATCTAGGAAGATTTGAAAAACACCGTAAGTGCTTTTTTTAAATTTTTAAGGCAACCAAGTGTATACTGCTGAATAATTTCTACGTTCTTCGATCTGTCCTGGAATTTGTTGAATAGAATAGTAGATACACACACTGTGACATTTAACGATCGAATAGGTTAAGTTGTCTCCGCGAAAATTCCCTAGGGAAATTTAACGCTGGAAATAAAAAAGCAATTTTTCTCGTTACATCCTCGTTCCAGCTGGTCCACGATGAACAACAATCAAGCCAAGCGAATGCACGGGGCGAATGAGCCAATGGTAAATCGTAATGAGTCCCGCAAATTGTTTTACGAGCAATGTTGGCCGGCCTGCGGCCGCATTACCGGCTCGACCCGACAGTGTATCAATTACGAAATAACGTCGTTATCGTGGCGAGCCTGGTCCCGCCTAATTAACGAATTTCCAGTCTGGACTGGCCGGTCACGTCGCTGTTTGAGAACCACTGGCGATGGCTCCACGTTGGAAATTCGTTAAGCGAATTCTTTGGAAGAATATAAGGCTGATGAGTTTTGGGGTATCTGGTTTCTAACCTAAAAGTCGGCCATTTTGGTGTTACTTTATAAATCTAAGGGATTAATTGGTGTGAAGCTGGATTTGAGTACTCTTCGTTCAAAATAAGAATAACCTCGTTTCGCGCGCGGGACGTGCCTAAGGCAGGGCTAGAACGTCCAAACCCCCACTTAACCGCCTACGTTTTTCTCCGACTTACCCTCTGCTGCGCTCTCTGTCTATGCGCAGAACGGACGAAAATCGGCCCGAGAGCGAGGTTATTCTTATTTTGAACGAACAGTGGAAAAGTATCTAGCAGCGCTCTTTTTCTATTGGAAAAATTTTCCTCGGCTTGTAGGTTAGGTACAGCGTTAAAAAGAGATATTTGACACGCAGAAGAAATTGTAATCCTTGTTAAAAATTGAAGAAATAATTTGAAAGATTTAGACTTAACATTCTGTCGTTTAAAAAATTGTTTTTCAAGATAGAGATTAAGCGTGTATTTTTATATGGTTCCAGGTGATCTTGGTGCCCCATAGTCACACGGATCCAGGATGGCTGAAGACATTCGAGCAGTATTTCCACAGCTCTACGAGGAACATCCTCAACAATATGGTCTCGAAGCTGCAGCAGTGGCCAAATATGACGTTCATCTGGAGCGAAGTGTCCTTCCTGTCACTCTGGTGGGAGAGGTGAGCAACCCAACTTCACATCCATTGGAATTTTTAACATTGTGTACACAGGGTGTCCAATACAGATGACAGCTTATTCTGTGGTAAAAAATGAGCCAGAAATATCGTACATAGGTCCACAAACATTGCATCGAAATATCGTACCAAGTGGAAATTTTAAAGGTTATGTTAGGTTAGGTATAAATTTCACCAGAATCTTGTTAAACTTTTCTCCAAAATGGAACGTTAATTCTGTAAAAGTAATTGTCATACACTGAAAAGTTCGTGAAAAAACGCTTCATAGAGGACGGTGGCCACACCATGGTGTCGTTTGTCCCTTTTTCTTCTTCACCATAACTTTTTAACGAAGCATTTTCAGAGCCACGCCAAAAATTTTTGCAATTTACTCGAAATTCGTTTTTGTTCGATCGTCCCTACCACAAAAAAGCCTCCAGGTCAAGGCGTCAGTTTTTATGCGCGCGTTAGGGATCTGCCTTGTACGTGTCCCTCGAAGACGACAGTCGTAAAGGGCGCCATTAAGGGGGACCGTGATGGCCATGCCTCGAAAGAACAGTTAAGGCGAAATATCCGGTAGGACCTTCTCTCTTCTCTTTTTTTTTTCTTCTTTCCCCTTGACGATCGAAAGAAAAGCGAGGGATAAAGATGAGGAAGTATCGCAAGCATAAAAGGGGATCTTGCAAAGGGGGAACGAGATAAGATCCCCCTACCTTCACTCTGCTACGTATATCCAGGCACTCCTTCATCGAATTGATCGGGACAAAGACGATTGAGGAAAACGGAAATCGCCTCGAATGCTATTCCATAAGAGGATCATGTGAAAATCGGAATATAGATTTCCTTGGACCTGGTGTGTCGTAGACTGCCATAAGATGGCGGCAGATCGAAAACTAGTTGCCTCTCCAACGACCTGGAACGCCATTAAGCGAGAATAACACGACTATGGCATATGGGGTGGAAATTGTTGCGCCATTATGGGGCTCTCCTTTGTTTTTTTTTGGGCTCGATACCAAGATCCGAAGTGCCACTGCGGAAATCTGCAAGTCTAGGTGCGATAAAAGTAAGACGAAACGCTGTGATCGTAGTTCGCCGATTTGGTGTAACTGCTAAGTCACGTGACTGTCAGCCCAGTGGCCTGAGTTCGAATTTCCCTTGAATAAGGAATATTTTTTCTTAGATCAAAAATTCTTTTCACTTCCCCTCTGCTTGAAGTACTCTCCTATTGACATCCAAAAGTGTGAACATATTTTCAAAATACTCCGAAAATTGAATCTAGAAATTTGAAAAGAGGAGATCTGAAAATCGTTGGAACGGTATTATTTGGTTCAATGTGTGTATAAGTACGCTATACGTACCAGCGGAAATTCTCCCGGAAATTGAGATGGAAATTGGGATTCAAATGGACTTTCTATGAGGATATAGGGACTGTTTGTCAGCCTTGAAGAGTGAATTCATCTGGTCACAAATATCCAGGAAGGGTACTTCTGGTATTGGTGTGGATTCGATCTCCATTTCGGAGATCTGTGTGGTTCAAAAATAGCCTGTAAATTCTCAGTGGAGCAAGATCAATCTGTAGAGAGTGTTAACCGGAAAACCTAAAGACGTCTTCGTGGGGGATCGACGACTTCCTCGAGATCTAGGTTATCGGGAAGGCGGAAATGGCCAGTGAAACGGAATTTGTTGGTGGTTTACGGACGACGTGAAGGCGGAAAGGCGGGCATTGCGAGGCTGTGTAGTGGTGGCTGGTCGTCGAATCACGTAAATCCCTCTGCTGGAATGCGGCGCGGCTATAAATATGATTTGTATCGCGGATTGTATCGTGCGAAATTACAAGTTGCGGCGTAACACGTTACCCGCGCTATCTGCGATGTAACTTACAATTACGTGGCCGGTATATCACAACTGGTCGCCATCAGGCATTCGCGTTTAACCCTCTTGGTGGGAGAATTATGCCCGTGGAAAAGTCCACCGCGTCACAATCCCTTGAAACGAAGCGGAATTGGATCTCTGCATTGGAAATAGTGCAGAGGAATAGTAAGGTTAGGTTATGATGTTTCTACACGTTAACAATAATTAAGTTGAATTGTTTTCAGTTGAATAATATTTCAGTTGAGTTTAGGTTACTCCTACTTTGGAAATAATTAAATTGGTATGGGTTAAACGACAGCTGTACCTTTGAAAGAATTTACTCGGGTGAGATTAGGTTACTTCTGTTATAAAGAAATTAAGGTTACTTGTGCTGTAAGAATAATTAGATTAGAGTAGGCCACGACATTTCTACTTTAAAACTAATTAGGCGAGGGCACACTACTTCTACTGGAAAAATAATTAGGTTAGGGTGCACTATTTAAAAATAGTGCAGAATAGGTTAGGTTACTTCCACTTTAAAAGTAATCAAGCTATTTCTGCTTCAAGAATAATTACTTCTACTTGAAAGACAATGCAAAGGATCGAAAAAAATTGGGAACCACTGTGAAGTTCCTTGTCAGAATGGGAACATTGTAAAAAGCAAAGTTGCTGATGGAATTGATGTCTAGCCGCAGCAGCCAAAAGCCTGTTCTCAAGAAACAAATTTTTAGAGGAAGAATAGAAGGGAGGGGAGTGAAACGGGGAATCATGATAAGCTGAAGGGAGATTTAGCTGGATCGGGGATCACCACGGTAACCTTCGTGACCTTAACCCGAAGCATGGGGGATGCTGGAGAGACGAGCGTGATTCGTGGCAGCTTTATAGCTGGCGTAAACGATCTAACGAGGGAACGAGCCCCCAGTGGGGGTGTTATGGTTCCCACGCGATGCTCGCTTGCAGAAATCGTGAAATCAAACATCGATTAGTACCGTTAAGAACGATTTTGAATACTATTTGCTCGATTTTTCTAGGTTAATTGTCGTCAATTTTCAGGTTACGAATGTCAAAGTGGAAATTATTTTATTTTGCAGCGCCCATCCGACTAAGAAGATGGTCGTGAAAAGGTTAGTGAAGGATGGAAGGCTAGAGATGACAACTGGAGGCTGGGTGATGACCGACGAGGCGACGTCGCATATCTACGCCATGTTGGATCAGCTGATCGAAGGTTAGTCCGGCCATTTTGAATTTTTTTCATCCCTCAATAAATCCTCGAACGTTCTGCTATTGTAAATTAATCGAGAAACCGTCGGGTAAATATATTTTTCTAACGTCTCTGAGATCCAAAGTCTCTGATCTACGTCTAAAAATGATTTTCCATAGAAAAAATGGAACATTTTGCGAAATGACATTTCGAAAGATTAACTAAAGAAGGAAATTGTAAGTAGAGGGTTGGGTGAAACGCAATAACTGGAGCTTTTCTAGCTTCGAGGAGATTCTCAAGCTGCGGAGCAATAAAGATGGCGGCTGCTTCCTCGGGAATGGCGCCCTCCATCGCTCTTAACGCCCTCTGATTACGAAAGGAAAAGGAACCGGGGCAGTTTAATGCCCCAGGATTTTATTGTGCAACGGAATGCCTCTGATTACAGTCTCGAGGCTTCCACGGTGATACAACCGGCAGCCATAATAATTACCGTTCCCCTAAATACGTCCTGACGTTATCGTCGTCTCGGGGCCATTAGGCGCGATCTTGCTTCGAGTTATGACGTTTGGGAGTCGACCAGATTATCCTGACTATCCCTCGGATGTTTCTTGGAATCTTAATATACGGATAATCATTTGCATTATCCCATTTCTAACGACATTACCTTCAAACTGTTACGGATCACTTTTAAAGTTAGGATTGCCTCGTGTAAATTAGCCTTAAGGTGTATTTGAGCCGATAAATTAATCCAAACTTATGGTTACATGCTTTTAAGAAAGTCATACTTAAATTTATAATAAATACAGACGAAAAAATATCCCTAGGCCCAACCTATTGTAGACCTCTTTCTACGTGTTTCCACGAACATAGGCCTAAATTGTTCATCAGAATTGGCCGAAAATTGAATATAGAGAGAAATCGATCCATTTTTTCTTTTCAAAATTTCATCTATAATTGCTACAAATAGCAAAAGGCTGGATCACGAAACGCACGATGATCTCTAAGGTCAAATTGGCGTCCTGGAAAGCAAGATTCGCTACATAGATCAATTTTAGATCAATCTGGAAATCCTTCGGGTCTGTTTCCATCGATAGGGAACCGGGATTTGTTGGTAACGTGTTGCGTTTTCGTCGTTGCATATTCACACGCGGAACATTCGCCGATATATTCGGCGTGTAATGCTCGTGAGCACGCATATTGACCGCGCCTGGCCTGGAAATTTAACGTCCTAAGCGCGAAACCAGCCGCATACATATTCAGAAGCCTAATAATTGGAAGTTAATATAGCCAGGCCGGCGCATTATTTCAATGGAACGTGCGGATCGTACGCGTAAATTGCGGCCCATCGGTTTGTCCTTGAATCCCAAAAGCTTTTCAGCTCCGTTTCCACCATTTTGATCTGTTCCTGCCACTTCTGCCCTCCCCCCCTCTCTCTGTATATCTATTTCGCTCTAGAATTATCGTTCAATTGATTACAGTAACGTTCGAGTAAATCTAATTAGGTTAGGTCATACCGAAGTAACTCGATTCAGGCTCGGTCTGTCGTGAAGATGGCCTAACCTAAATTCATTCAACCTGGATGTAATATAAGATTATTCGATTCTAGACGTCATTCCGCTTATCCAGGTTAATAGTGATTTAGATCTGTGTGATAATAATAATCTACTTAGATTTGGTTAGGTCAATCTAAACAAACTTGACACTAACCAAATCTAACCTAACTTTCAACCAGCTTTCACCCACACACTCTTGCCTCTGCCCAATTCCATCTCAACCCAGTATACTTGAAGGAAGAAAAAAAATGTTCAACATCGTCGTATATCGGTTTCTATAGACCGAAAGCTAGCACAGCGATCGCAGACTCACTCTGGCAGACCCGGAGACGCGAACAACCAGCTTCCTCGAACAGTCCTCCTCGGCTAGGTCTCTGGAAACGCGGAATCGCGTAAGCAGCGCGCGATAAAGGATCGTGGGGTATCCCCGGCAGCGGATCTAGTGTAAATATCGCGGGATAAAAGCGTTTACGGTCGCGTGCTATCGCGTGCTTTGAAATTCCGCCTCTTACGGCTGCCAGAGAACACATGAACCAACCCCCCGTTGGAAATACAGGGAAGCGCAATCGAAGGAAAGTTCTCGCAGCGATATTACGCGGCTGAGATCCTCCTCCTCCTCCACGCTCGAGAATATCCTCGACGAAAGCTCTTCTCGTGTATAAAGGATGTAATTTAAGTCCGCTAGGATACACGGAGCATCCACCCTGATCTTTTCCCCTTTGGATTTTCCTCTCCTCCCGTATTTTCCCCAAGGTCTAAATGATGCCTCGCCGTTGCCTTAGCCTTTCTCTGAATCGATTTCTCCAAGAGATCGATTCCTGGAGAGCTAGGCCAGGCTGGCTCTCTGCGCGAGGATTCGGTGTTTCGAAGGCTCGTCAAAATTCAAAACACCTTGGAATGATTTTTTTTAGAGATGGTCTAAGTGTTGTTGAATCCCGTGGCATATTATTAGGCATTTTATACAGGTGTATACTACGTACAATTAAACGATCGAGTAGAGGTGAGACGTGAAACGAATAATTGATGGTGTGAACAGGGATTGGAAATTAGTTTGCTCGCTAAAATTTTGCGAACCTTCCTGAATAATTTTCTGAGGTTCTGTTCAAGGCTAGACGATGTTACATATGCAATCGTTGAAGATTTACGGAAGAATTTGGATATAATAATTAGAATCTTGAAGTACATCTGGCTAGACACTTTGGTTCAAGAGCGATGTAACTTCTTGTTTCACTCTTCCAGATCAATTGCAAGTAGACAGAAAGCATACTTTCAAATAAAAACACCGATTACAGGGTTGGAGGATAAGTTGAAATATACTCTTCCCTCGATTATGCCATCAAAAGCTATTGCATTTATGCTCTCAATAATAGTTGATGTTGTGTTTAACTAAAACGGTGTCCCATAGTCTCCTGAAGCATTGTAATCTGTTACATTAACAATTGACAGTGATTTTATACTGCAACAGGTCATCTGAACCTAGATACCCTATTAGCTGTTCTCTGTCCTCTATCAGATCCTCCATTCGGAACCATAACTATTCAAATTTATTCCCACTTTACACTCGTAACATCTGGAAAACCCTATTCTAGACTTCTAAGCTGACTGTAAGCTTGTGACAATTTCGGACGTGCAAGAAAAGCTCTCTTTTTCCATTTTAACCAAAAGTAACCGCTTCGTCACCAGTTACAATCACCCACAATGAGTCTTGTGGTTCGTTTACAATACCCAGACAGTCCTCGGAAAATTCTTAGAGCTAAATGAAAAAGAATTCGAGAAAAAGTGCTTGGATATTCGTTCCTCGTGCTTGAATGCTTCGGAAGAAGGAAACAGGAGGGAGGAGAAAGGCAGGACGTCAGTTGAAAGCGATCGCGACAAACGATGAGTTGTTTTTCGAGTGCAGACAGGTGACATTCGTTCTCCAGCTTCACGGAGGACGCTTTATTTTCACGGGAAGAAAACTCGACGATTATTCTCGGGGAAATGCAATTAAGTCGCCGGTCCTTGCTCCTCTTTTCCCTGGACAATTATTTTTTTTTCTTTTTCTCAAAATCT